AATAATATATGGTATATTATCAGTACTAAGTTAATAATCACAAAATATGTTCTAATAGTTGCTGTTACTTATAAGTCAAATAGATTGGTATACTATATAAATTTTTACAAAAAATTATTAAAATTTAATTTATTCAAAAAAATGTATATAAATCTTTCATTAAATTTTAAATATATATTCTTTATTATTTTATAATATACTTTGAACTTTCATTATTGCTTGATATTTTTGTTTCAGAATCGCTATAATTATCAGAAAAAATAACTTCTCGACTTTTTTGCTTTTTAGATAATCATTTATTATAGTAATTCGAATCATCAGAGTCACTGGAAATTACTGCCAACTTTTTTTTATACTGTTTATGTGAATCTTTATTTGTATTCGCACTATTTAACAAGCTGTTAGTTGTATTGTAAGTATTTTTGTTTGAAACTTGAACGTTATTATAACTTTGCATAATTTTAGGTTGTTGAATTTGTCAAAGTTTTTCGTTTTCAGCTTTAAGAGCTTCTATTTGATTTTTTAAATTAATAAGATCATGGTTGCTAGTTTCTTCAACAATTAATTTGTTATTATCTTTGGAAATAAGTTTTTTATTTGTTCGCTTGCCTTTTGGCATAGTAATTAATATGAAAAAAAAGAATATTAAATTTAGGGGAAGAAAGAGTAAGTTATTTCATCTTAAAGTTTATTTTATATATTTATATATATCAGCATAATTGGACTTTAAAGATTTGTATATAAATATCAAATTGCAAGAAAAAAATTTACTTATATAATTTATTGAAATTTGTATTGAAATTTAATGAATAATGAATTAAATCTTATTAGCGAAGATAGTGAAGCCTCTGATATAGAATTAGATACTGAACATGTCATCACTGATCATAATAATAAAGTGTATTGCAAGTATCATTTATGCGCTGAAGAAGGTTATGGTAGTGCTTGGGTTAGCAAGAATACCTGAACTTGACATATAAAAGCTCAAAATTCTATAGCAATACATACAGAGCCATCAAGTTCAGAATTTAGTTCAGAGTTATTAGACAGTGACAACAATGATCATAAGTTAAGATTTTTTTTTTAGGGTTTGACCTGCAGGGTTTATTATATAAGTATATTAAATAATAATAATTTGATAAATTTAATTATAGTAAACCAAAACCTGTTAATGATCAGAATTTATTCTTATTATCATTAGATATTAACAATAACAATAATATTAGCGATAATGATATTAATAATGATAATGATATTAATAACAATAACGATTATAATGCCGATAATGATTCTAATATGAAAATATCAGATTTTAATTCTGATATTAATATGGAAGGATATGAAAGTTTACAAGAAAATAGTAGCAATTCAGCAAATTTTTCCGATAGTGATGAGTCTTTAAGTGATCTTGACTCTGAATATAATTACTTTTATAATTCTCAGGATGGTATAATTTTATTTATTGATTTATTTATTTATTGATTTATTTATTTAAATACTTTGGTATTATTATATTAGATTCAAGTATAGCAAATAGTATTTCTGAGGAATTAGCTATTGTATTAAGATTATTTAAAGTAAATATTCAATACAATTTAACAGATGAAGCATTTCAACAAACTATGATTACAGCTAATGTAGAACCAATTAGTTTGCATATAGTTAAAAAAAAATTGAAATCATTTGTGAATATTAGATCTATATAGACTGATATGTGTTTTAACTCTTGCTGTGGATATACTGGAAATTATAAGAAATTAACCAAGTGCCCAATTTGTAAATTAGATCAATATTATTATAACAAAGCCAGGAAGCCATGTCAACAATTTGCATAATTTTCACTAGTATAACACCTTATTATTCAATATGAAGATTATGATCGTGCTACAGAACTACGATATAGAGCTAATTATGTATTACAAAGATTATATAAAAATAATAATCAAATAGGAGATGTTTTCGATAGTATTCGGTATAAAGAATTAGTACAGAATGAGCACTTTTAAGATGAGTGTGATGTGGTATTGTTAGCTTCAATTGATAGTTATCAAATATTTAGACAAAATACTGATGACTGTTGGGTAATACTAGTAATTAATGCAAACCTGGCACCTGAAAATCGAGTCAAAAAAGATAATCTTCTAATTAGTTTAATTATACCTAGTCCAAAAAACCTAAAGATCTTAATTCATTTCTTTTTTCTATGATAAAAGAATTACAAAGATTAGAAGGTATATATATTAAGTTATTTATTACAAATATATATTTAAAATATGTA